TCTTGTCTGTGTTGTCTACCCCATTAGAATGTGAGATCCTTGATGACAGGTATTGTCTTGCTTTTCCATTTGTATCTCCAGGGCTTAGCACAAAGTTTTGCACCGGGTAAATGCTCGAATACTTTTTCATTGATTGATTCATTCCATTATGTATTCAATTAATACAATTTCTTTTTTTTTTTTTTTGTATTTGTTTTGTCATTATTCTTAGCACAATTCACATACGTATTTTTTTTCCCTTAAATTAGGCTGGAAATTCCTTTTGAGAGCAAAAAGTATTGCTTATCTATCATTGTCATGAATAGCTATCACACTAATGAAATAAATATTTAAGCATAGACATTGCTTAAGAGTGTTAGACAGAAAATTAGTTGTGAAGCAAAGGTTTTCTCTTTTCTAAAGACCCTCTATGTCACAGTGGTAGGAGGAAGGCAAAGTTGCTGTTTTTCTAGAATAGAATATTTCTATCCTTTCCTTGCCTTCTCTTACCCCAGAATTGGAGCCCGAGTAGTACATGAAATAGAATATGAGGCTTTTTATGAATGAAGTTGAAAAATAAGGAGGAAAGCAGCAAGTTCAAACTGCAAAAGTGAGATATTTTTAAAATGTTACTTTTAGGGTAACATCAGCTGACCCTCCTATTTTCATTGGCTGATTAACACATTAAAAACCCTTGATTGTGTTACTAGGTAATAGACTTAATGTTGCAGTAATCTCTTTGAGAGTTTTCTTTGTTGTTTCAGTCCTGTCTGACTCTCCCAGACCTCATTTGGGGTTTTCTCGGCAAAGATACTGGAGTGGTTTGCCATTTCCATCTCCAGCTCATTTTATAAATGAGGAAACTGAGGAGAACAGTGATAAGTGACTTACCCAGGGTCACACAGATAGTAAATATCTGAGGCAGGTCTTTCTAACTTCAGGCCTGGCACTCTATCCGCTATGAGTCTTTGAGAGTATACATTTTAAACAAAGTCAAGGAATGCCACTTAACACTGCATACAGTTTTTGTTCTATAGATAGGTGGCATAGAGAGATGACCTTGGAATCAGGAAGCCCTGGGTTCAAGTCTTGCCACTGGTACAAACTACCTGCACTAGTAAGTCCTTTAACTTCTCAGAGCACTAGGATACTCGCCAAGGCCATAAATTCCAAAGTAGATGTTGATCTGCACCAGTGGAAAGAGTTTTCTCCAGAGGAAATCACAAGTCTGGACCGAAAAAATATATATGCACATTCACACATATATGTGTACATATGTATATACACACACTTGTATGGGTCTTGGTCAATTGAGTACTGGATCTAGAGTAAGGAAGACCTGTGTTCAAACATTTCCTTGGACACTTAACTAGCCGTGTGACCCTGATCGATATCCTTTTTGTCTGTTGTGTTCTTTGGGTGTAAAACCAAGGGGTTGAATTAGATGGCCTTGTGGGCCCCTTCTACTTCTAACACTATGATCCTCTCATCCTGCTACATATAAAAACCAAATAATACATACCAGCTCTTTTTTCATATGTAATAATTGTTGATTAAATCAATAGTTCATTTAAAAGTGTTTTGTCTTCTGAGAATTTCTGGAGTTGTTTTGCCTTCCTTCAGTCTCAGATTTTTCTTTTATGCTTATTAGTGGAACCCATACATAGCCTTTGGGTATGGTTAATTCTAAATTAAGAAGTATTAATTATTGGAAGTACAGCCTATGTGTATATAGACAAAAACCCTTTGGGTGACACTCAACCTTTATGGAGTCGCAATAGCCATTCATTATTTGCATGGTTTTGTGACATCCCTCCCTACCTCAACCCTTTGTCATTTCCCTAGGCTAGAGAATAGCAGCTTCAATTTGTTCTATTCAGTTAAACTCTCATTTTACTTCTTTTCAGTCCTTAGCAAGTGCTATATACATCAAATATATTTTTTTCAAGATGAAATTGAATTAAAATTAATTTTATTTTAAAAATGTTGTGACTCCCCTTATAAACAATGGAGCCGTCCTTATGTGTTGCAAAATCTGGACTGGCAAGCCCCAATGTAGTCCCTTTTATTGAATCTGATCAGTATTCTAGAATGTAATCTAGCCCCCACTTGATACCCACCCCTTTTCATTTCTGGTTTCTTTCTTTATCAAACTGATGCCTAGACTCTTGCTACTCTATCATCAGGGGGTAAGCAGATGGACCTCAGGAACAGCAGATTCCATCATCTTGCCTTGGCATCACTAAAAAGCAGGCCTGGAGCTTTTTGAATTGGGTCTGTTTGCTTTGTATGTGTTTCTTTCTAATACAGAGATGCTTATGGGGCCAAGTTATAAGAAAAGTCAAGGGCAAATACATAAAATCCTAGAGTTCTCTGGTACACTACTCTCAAGCTGAGCCATTCTCTTGTCTTTCTGGAATTGGTAACAGAACTGCAGACATTTCCAGGAGTCAAAACACTATTAAATGAGCTATTAACTTCATATGCTTATATTCATATTTATTTACTGAGAAGTAGCTGGTATGTATTGTTTATGCTTCCTTATGGGATACAGCTTTCACTGTATGCTTTGATGCTTAAACACTTATGTGCATCAGCGATTTCACCTATGTGAATATACCTTTCACTGATGAATAATAATATTAGCTAATAATAGTTAGAATCAATTAGCACTTTAAGGCTTGTAAAATACTTTACAAATATCATCTCATTTTTATCCTCACAGCAACCCTATGTAGGAGATGCTATTATTATTCCCATTTTACAGATGAAGAAAGTGGGGGAGACAGAGGTTAAATGATTTGCCCAGGGTCGCAAAGCTATTAAGTATCTGAGGCTAGATTTGAACTTAGGTCTTCCTAACTTCAAGTCCATCTCTCTATCCACTGTGCCACCCAGGTGCCTACAATGAGATGATCACAATCCAGCCATATCTTATCACCCTATTTCTAGCTTTCTAAGATATTTTAAGTAGAATATGCACTGAAGGTCTAGCTCTCATTATTTTATCATTTTGGGGGATATCAGTACAATATTTGGACAATCCAGCTGTTGCATCTGACTTTTACTACACTGGTGGTTCATCTCATTTCCTAATAATACATGTTTTGATGACATATATGCCATTTTTCATTTAAAAAGTCATTGTTGGAGTATCTGTAGACTGCTTTTATACCCATCATATATATTTCCATTTCCATTGTGGTCACCTGCAATGCTAATTCTTTAATCAATCAATCTATCATCAACATGCATTTATTAAATGTTTACTGTGTGTCAGATATTGTACAAATGCTAGATATACAAAGAAAGACATTGTCCCAGCCCTCAGAAAGCTTGGGGGTGGTGGGGATGCAGCTAGGTGGCACAGTGAATAAAGTTGTTCATCTTTTGTTTTCAAAGAGAACTAGTGGACTTAGAGTCAGCAAGACCTGATTTTGAGTCCTGCTTCAGACACTTCCTTGCTGTGCGAATCTGGCCAAGTCCCTTAGTTCTCTGTGCCTCCATTTCCTTATTTGTAAAATGGAGATAATAATAGCACCTACCGCACAGGGGTGCTGTGAGGATCGAATGAGTTAACATATGTAACGCGTGTTACAATCTTCAACCCAAAGAACATACACTGTTAGACTAACTCAAATGGTATCCCCTTTGTTACATAAATGCATACTCTTAAGGTGGTGAAGTGGATAAGAACACTGGGCCCGGAGTCAGAAAGACCAGAGTTCAAATGTGACCTCAGACACTCAATAGTTATGTTGCCCTGGCTGGGCAAGTCACTTAACTCCTGCTTGCATTAAAATAAAGCAAAACCAAAATCAAACTAGATAAGGAAATGGCAGGCCATTTTCGTATCTAGATCCAGATCTAGGTCTGGAATACATCTCTGTCTAAATCTAGAAAATCCCACGGACAGTTGGTTCTTGGGGTCATGAAGAGTAAGACACAACTGAGTGACTGAACAACAAAAATACGGTTAATTCTTATGACCTACTCCGAACTTGTGCAGTATAGGACTGTAATGGAAATCCATCAATTTAATTGGTTCTTCCCGGGAAATTGCATTAGTTTCTAAATATATAGGTATACTCCAGCCTACAAACTCTAGACTCATACACACACATTTACTATTAGAGGATTTTAAGATCAGGAATAGATTGGATTTGCCACATCTGCAGATTAACTTTATAGATTTTTTTAAGGTTCCTTCGGATGAATTCTCTAGTAACATGGGCCCTAATTTATTTCATTATTCTTTCATTTCGAAATGCTGTCCTTACTTTGGACCTGCTTTCCTGGATGCTTCATTTCTAAAATTGAGCCATTGTAACAAATTGCCAGGGAACAGTACCTGAGAAACCAGGGATCACTGCATATATGCTATCAAGGACAGGTTTGATAGAGATCAAGGGGCTTTTGAGTTCAATATCTTCTGGTCTCTTTTTTTTTCTCATTTTTTCCAAGTGTTTTTAAGCTGTTGAATCAAATACCAAAATATAACCCTGAGTCTCTTTCATCAAATGTTTACAGATGCACTTTGATTACTAACAATTTACCAGAAACATTATCATTTTTTCATTTAAATGCTTTTTAAAAGATTTGTTACTTTTTAAATACAATGTTTTTATATCTGAGGCCAAATACCTTGGCCAGAGGAACACAGCTCCAACTTTTAAATGCAAGTCAACAGGAAAAATAATTCATATTTATATAAATTCACTTTAGAAATAGCTTTTCAGGAATACTGGTGATCCATCCTGCAAAATGCACTTCTATAGCAAGATATACCAAATCTTGTAGTGGTCTAAAGAAGTTGGCACAACTTCTTATACTGGGCCTGGTGTAGCACCATTGATTCAACAAACATCTCATTCAACAAATATAAATTTTGCTGAGTGTCAATTGAGGAAATCACGACAGAGACAACTTTTTTTTAAGCTCACATCAGAACATGGTGGTGAATTTAACTCTTCACCTTCAGAAGGTTAGAGAGCATCATTAGGAGCTAAAGAATTCATTACCTCTTAGCTGCTGAAAACAGGAAGTGCTGTTGTCTGCCTCAAGTGGGTACCTCAGGACCCCATTGCTGGGCTTGGGCCTCTCGTAGTGTCTTTCAGGGAGCATGGCTTGCTCACTCTCCACTGTGGGATCTGGGTGTGGGGACAAGGACTGTGGAAACCCAAACATCAAGAGAGAGGAGAAGAAGAGTAAGGCACCACAGAGCAGGAAGCCTACCCACCAGGCACCGATCCAGCGGGGGTCATCTGGGGTTATCTCCAGGACACCTGCAATGGCAAGATCACATCTTAACTACTTTGTCTGTAGGAAAGAAGGACATCCAGATCTTTAGTGATAAACAGTACACATTTCAGTGTGAAATGTCTGAATTTTTCTCTCCACAACCTGTATGGAATTCCACATCTTGGGAAACTCATCAGTTCCACATCAATGTGGAAACATCAGTTTCTCCTATGGTCTGAGACTGAGCACTTTTTCTTCTTGTTGCTCTCTTAGCTTGTTTGTCTCTACTCTCTTGGAGTGGAGGAGGGGGGAGAAGAACAGCAAAGAGCCAGGTAACATTTGCAAAACATCTGAGAATTGACTGGTTAGTGAACATGTAACACAGATGTAAAACAAACAAAAAAAGCTTATGATCCTCCTAATTTCATTTCCCAAAGTATCTAAATTGTGAGATACTAGGCTATATACTTATTTGTTGCCTTCAATTGGGTCCAATATATATACGTGTGTATATATATATGAATATATGTATATGTATGTATGTGTATGTATGCATGTGTATATATGTATGTGTGTATAGTATGTACATAAGTATGTGTATATATGTATTTATGTGTGTATGTATGTATGTGTATGTATATATCTATGTATCTATATATCTATATCTATATATATACCCAATGAGGTCGATATTTTCAAGTTGACATTTGACAAGTTGATTCAAACCTTGGTTGGTACTCTAGGGTACAGTCTTATATAATAGCCTTTTGCAAACCGACTCAGATATATTCAGGACAGAGTTTGTTTTTTTCTGAAGTATCTCGCATATAGTGGACACTCACTACATGTTTGTTGACTTTGGATAAATTAATGAGTGGTTATACCTTAGGCCATCAGGGAAAACAATATTATAATAAGCTATATACAAGAAATTGAATTTGTGGGTATTTCTGCAACTTGCAAGTATACTACCACTTGCAAATAAATACTACAAAATGCTTTTTGATGGAGTAGAACAGGGAAAAGGAGCCCAGGAAACAGTTTCATGTCACCTTGGAACTAAGAGCCCTAAAGGTCCATGACCCAATGTATTAATAGAAGTGGCCATAGAAGAAACAAGGCTCTTTCTGACTTTGTTGCTGACCCACTATAGGACACTGGGTGAGCAATTGTGATTCTGGAAAGAGCAACTGACTCTTCCAAGAAGATGCTGGCAGCTGATAGCCAGCTTTTGGAAATTGCAAGTATAAATGCAGTAGAAATTATGACTACCATTCACACAGGCACCAAATCAAATGTTATCCAGTGTCATTGGTGCTAATGTGAATTTCTATATCCTGAGTGATAAAGGGCACAATTTAGAGAATACAAACTCATGATAGAAGCATCACTAAACTGAAACCAGCTCTGAGCTGGTAGAAAAAATCAACGCATACATGCAAACCAAAAAGGAGCAAAAAGAAGCAAAATTGCCTCAGGCCGCTGAGCAGGAATGTTTTCCCCAGTCATCTACTCTGTTTCTTCACCTGCTGCAAGGCGATAAATGAAAACAAAAAGAGGTAAAAGGCGCGGCTGTATTTTCCTCTGTTGTGTGTATACTCTGCAAATGGGAAATGGGAGAGCTGGCAGATGTGAATGAGAAAAAAGAAACCCGGGCAGTTTGTTTTGGGGGACCCAAATTAGTAACACATTAGAAGTCGTGTTTTCGATAGAAATGTAACAATGTCTGCTCTCTATGTGTGAGAAAATATCCCACAGATTTAAGGGAAATGTTTCTGTGAATTTGTCAACTCGCTTCTGGTTGAATTTAGTATGTGTGTAGAATAGTATAGCATCACACTTGTTTTATAATTTGTAAGACTCCAGACAGGATTAAATGAACCTAAATAGGCGCCTCATCTTCTGAGAAAACTGAGGAAAGTGTCTGAAGATGTGAGGAGATAGAGATTTTAGAGGTCCAGGGAGATAATAGTTAATCAACTATTTTGAGGAAGTTAAAGGTTTTTTTTTTCCCCTTCTATATTCATTGCTCAGTACACTGTGAGAGTAAGAGAAAATGTAAAAAAAGAAACCAAACAATATAGGAATTGACTTTTTCTGGAGCAGAGAAGCTATATATGGTGCCTCACAGTTTTTGAGTTTGATTTTAATCCTTCTGAAATGACCATGGCTATAATGCAATCTCTTTTTTTTTTTGGCAGTTAGGGTTAAGTGACTTGCCCAGGGTCACGAAGCTAGTAAGTTTCAAGTGTTTGGTCTGAGGCTGGACTTGAACTCAGGTCCTCCTGACTTCAGGGCTGGTGCTCTATCCACTGCACCACCCAGCTGCTCCCAGAATGGAATCTTTTCCCAGATAATCAGCTTCTACCATCTCTTCCCCCAGATAAGTCTTTGGACAAAGTTATGAATTGTGAATCATTGAAACTGGATACTGGGAGAATCTGGAGAAACTTACTGGCATTCTTACCACAGTTATGTAGTGGAACAAAATTTTGATTTGGAGTTGGAAAACCTAGGTATGAGTCCTGATTTTATCATGTACTAGCTATGTGACTATAAGCACGCCACTTCTGTCCTGTGAGTCTGAGTTTCTCATTGGTAGAGTGAAGTAACTGATGATGATGATGATGATGATGTTGATGATGTTGATGATGATGATGACGATGATGATGATGACGATGATGATGATGATGATGATGATGATGATACTTTTACTGCCTTGGAATTCTTTGACTTTGTTGATCACTCTCATTTCCTTGATACTCTATTCTTTTTGGGTTTCTGTGACATCATCCTTTCCTGCTTCTCCTGCCTGTTGGACCAATCCTTCTCAATGTCTTTCACTGGATCTTCATCCAGGTTACAACAATTAACCATGAATGTCCTCTAAGCTTTTGTCCTGGGCTTTCTTCTCTTCTCTCTCTACCTTATTTTTCTTTGTGATCTTATCAGTCTCCATGTATTCAATTATCACCTCTATGTTGATGATTTTCAGATTTACTTTTATCAAGTCCTCACCTTTCTCCTAACCTCAAGACTCACATTTCCAACTGCTTATCGGACATCTAAAACTGGATGTCTTGTAGACATTTTCAATTCAGCACGTGCAAAACTGAACACATTATTTTTAGCCCAAGCCGTCTTCTCTTTCTAACTCTCCTGTTTCTGTCAATGGTACCACCACCATCTTCCCAATCACCCAGTCTCAAAACCTATGTGTTATCTTCAAATCTTACTTTCTCTCAGCAACCATAGCCAATCAGTTGCCAAATCCTATCAATTCTACTTTCATAACATCTTTCTTATATAGCCCTTTCTTTTCTCTAATGCTGTTACCATCCTGGTTCAAGTTATCATTATCTCATTCTAGGACTATTGCTGTAGTCTTCTGGCTGGTCCCCCAGCTGCAAGCCTATCCCCACTCCACTCTATTTTCCACTCAACTATCAGATTGCTTTTCCTAAAGCACTCGTTTGGCCATGTCATCCCCTATTCAAGGAATAGGGTGGCTTCCTATGACCTCCAGGATAAAATATAAAATCAGCTTGCCTCCCTCCTAGTCTTCTTAGACCTTACTGGCCCTCTGCAAGTACTGTACTCCTAGATCCAGTGACACTGGACTTCTTGCTATTTTTTACATGACAAACTCCATTAGCTGAATCCATTCAATTTCTCTGGCCATCCTCCATGGAATTCCTCTTGGAATTCTCTCCTTTAGCTCCATCTCCTGAATTTCCTGAATTCCTTTAAGTCTCAGTCAAAATCTGAAGAAGTCTTTCCTAATACGGCTTAATGTTAGTACCGCTGTTGATTATCTCCAATTTATCCTGCCTGTATCTTGGTTATACATAGTCAGAGGTATAGCTTTCATAGACAACATAGTTATTTGTATGTTGTCATCTTGAGAACAGGGTCTTTTTTTTTTTTTGCCTAGTACTTAGCACAGTGCTTACAGGCACTTAAAATGCTTGCAGACTGACCTTCCTAACATGACAGCTATTGTGAGGGAATGCTTTTTGAAGTGTGAAATACATATGAAATATAAGCTACTGGTAAGGGAAAGTCTAGGTGATCTCTTCAGCTCCTTCCCAACGCTATTGTTCTAAAATTCTATAATGAGCTGCTGGAATTAAAAAAAAGAAATGGTAGTCTTTTCCCATTAAGCTTGTGCTAGAAAGGACATGAACCTCATACTTACAAACCTATGAACTGTTTCATTTACCTCAAAATATGGAACTACCAAGAGATAGAAAAGGCAGTGTGGGATAACAGGAAGAGCTTTGAATTTGAAAGTCAGGAGAGCCACATTAAAATTTTAGCTCCCACATATACAAGTTAGATACATAACCTTAAGCAAGTCACTTGACACGGTTGTGCTTCAGGTTCCTCATCTGAAAATGGAAATAATAATACTTTCACTGCTTCTCTCAGTGAGCTGCTGCTAGGGAAGAGCTTCCTGAGCCTTAAAGCCAGTGGTGTGCTGGCACCAGCTTGACCAGCTGGCCTCAGAGTGAGTCTTTACACCATAGAAATTGGTATATGCTACAAATCAGGGTTTGATTGATTTATGTTGATTTTCTAGACTTTAGCAAGTAAAGGATAAAATGTTCATAATGCAGATTAGGCTTAAAAGTGTGTAATTTATGCATTTTCCCCTGTGAAGAGACAGTTGTTAGAAATGTTTACCAGCACACCCTTGCTAGGAGTTGACTCCAGCCTTGCTTAAAGTGACATGTGGCAAAATATGACCTATTTCATGATGGAGAGGAGAAAAGATCTCACTTAGCCAATGTCATTGCCTTAAAATGATAATGATTCATGTTTAATTGGCAGAGGAATGTGTTGGGTCAGTGTTGTTTACAAGTTGCTGAAGACAGTGTTGCTAATTAGCTGGCTAGAAGATATGTTGTAAAGGAGGCCACACTTGTAGGTTTGCTCCTTACTTCAGACAAAGAGATTTTCTCACCTTTTGTGTGCTCTGGGATGCAGAATAACAACAATAACAATAGTTATTTATGGAGCACTCTTAGGTGCAAAACACTTT